ACGAAAAAAAAAATTAAGGGGAGGGAAACAGACAGCAAGGTGATCTCATAAGCCTCTTATTTTTTTAAAAATAAGGAAGTAGGCAAAAAACGCCTATAAAAGCCTGAGCTATCGCACGAAAATACAGAGCAGTGAAAATTGTACTAATAAAAGAATTACAAGTTTGTATATGAACTGCAAATCTTTGCTGGTTATTATAAAGAGATGGAAATATCTAAAATTCTTCGCGAACTTCCTTGTATTGGAAGATTTATCTGAGAAAAATATACCTCTATGCAGTTAGAGCCGGGATAGCTCAGTCGGTATAGCGACGGGTCACGGAGTTCGATTCCCAGCAGCGACAGATTTGTCTCTACCCCAGACCGACTCTGAGTCCAACCCACCCTCCTTTCCAGTGGGTACAGGGGGCTCTTTCCCGGGTGTATAGCGTTCGGGTCGTGAAACTGTCTAATGCCGAGGTCAAGAAAGGTGGAGTTATGCCTCCACTCCGGCATGTCTTATGGCGTGGTGCTTAATTAATTAAGCACAGGGACAACTTTACCTTTACCTCTTACCTCCGTGTATTTATTTTGAAAGTTGTTTAGCGTGAAGATGACATGTGGGTTTCGAAATGAAAATGAGATTTAATATCGGGTTTAAAATCTTGAAGAGCTGTAGGATGTGTCAAGCCAATGCACGCACCAGCCTGATGCCCCGATTGTAATTATTCGACCGGATCTACCCGCCTCCCCTCCCGTCTCAAACAAACCCCACCCCCTCAAAACCAGGTTTTCACTCCGTCTTGTTTCTAGGACGGTTCTTCTGTGATAGTGTTTTGTTCTTCTCTTCAATCGGATCTTCCGTAAGAGGCAATGAGATGACGGACAAAGCTCAGTCGTAATAGAAGATTTCAAGGCTGTGGTTGAACCTCAAATGAAACACACTCTATCTCAGAATCGTCAGCCGGTTAATACTGTTCAGGGAAACAAATGCTGTTTATTGCGAGACCCAAGCGAAGCATAAACACATTCTGTGAGCTAGTTATCGAATTAAAAGCCAGTGGTCAATATATGTGCCACCTAGCTATCTACTTACCTACCTACCTGCCTGCCTGCCTGCATACCTACCTACCTACCTCCCTGTCTGTCTGTGTATCTATCTATCTACAGCCTTTTGTTGGACCTTGGCGGCTTTCTCAGTTTCTTAATCCTATATAAAGTCGGTAGGACTCCTTGGACGGGAGATGAGCCCATCGCAAGGTCGGTACCTACACACAGAACAACACAAACACAGACATCCATACCTTGAGTGGGATTCGAACTGACGATCCCAGTGTTCGAGCGGGCGAAGACGGTTCAAGCCTTAAACTGCGCGTTCGCTGTGTTCGGCGGTGTTCTATCTGCTTTAACATATTACAACTTCGTATTTTGCACTCAGAGAGCGTGTGCGTGTTTCGTGTGGTTTTCACATTAAACAGCGATTGTTTCTTTGAGACAGCATTAACCATCTTGTCTTTGTAGTGGAGACGTAATGTGTTTCCTGCGAGGTACGGAATGAATATAGTGTTAATGGAAAGCTAAATAAGATGGAATGGACAGGCTAGTTATCATTGCATTTACAGAGTCCCATGCATCAGGCTACAAAGCATCCTTCTTGACAGCCAAGGAAAAATGGAAATCCCAACATATCATGAACTAGAAATTAGCATTTTTACGTAAGTCGGGGCTCGACTCCCAGTGGAGGCAAAAGTTTTTCCTCTACTACTTAATGTCCACCCCGGGTCTGGGATCCACCCAGCATCCTACAGAATGAGTACCGGTGACTGTTACCCCCGGGATAAAGTGGCAAGGGCGTGAAGCTGACCACTCACCACCAACTAGTGCCGAGGTTAAGAATGGTGGAGCTACACTTACGCTCCCCAACACGTTTTCGAGGCGTGATGCTTAATTAATTCAGCACAGGGACAACTGTATCTTACAGGTTTAAGCATTAACCTTCTATAACATAGTGGTAACTATTTTAACCATCAGCTTCAACTTTTAATACCATGAAGTGGATATTTCTGGAAAATGGAGGTTTCCTTGTACGCACGAATCTGAACTTAAAATATGACTAGATCCCGCTGAGTTTCTTGCACAAAATGACTTAACTAAACGCATAATGGTGAGGTCCAATTGTCAATGATTTGGGCCAGACAACTAGTCCTGTCTCAAGTGTATATTAATCTCCGAGACCGTCCTTGGTTTCTCGTTACAGATGGTCTGTAAGAGTAAGTAAGTATAGCTATCCCTGCACCAGGCCATGAAGGCCCATAGGGTTGTCAGACGTTGAGGCTCCTACATTATCTAGACAATCGGCTCAAAGGTGGCGGTAAGGATGTCAGCCTTACGCGCCGGCCGCCCTTTATACCCAGGAATATTCCTGATACCCATTTCTGTTAGAGGCTGAGTAGACCCCAGGGCCATAGCGCGGCTGCAAGGATTAGGTAAATTGAAAAAATTCCACCTCATCGGGATTCGATCCCGC